GAGCTTTCTAATCACTCTCATAACTTCCATTCTCTCAAACTCAACACCGAAAGATCTTACACTAGCTTTTAGCGTAGTGCATTGTTAACAAACACAATAGCTTCAGCTACCCTCAACCTAATCCTCACCATGAAGATTGCAAAGACGCATACACCAGCTCGAGTCTCCAAGCTGCGTGACAAAACAATCCTTCACTCCTCATCGACCTCGACGATAGAATGCGAAATCGACGATTACTCACCTCTACCACCTACAAATCTCACACTTTCCTGCAGACGCAACAGTGCGAAGTACACCTCAAGGTCTCAAATCATCAATAGGATCTGAGAACCCACGTCAGACCACTAGGTATAAGGTGGCTGGAACGCATGGAGAAAGTTCTTGCGTGGCTTGTCGCCATTGCTACGCCTGGCGACATCGCTTATATGAAAAACTAATCAACGAGAGAGATCCACAATCAAAGGATCGTAGATCTGAACTCCCGCGGGAGACTGTCGATTGTGATAGAGTAGGTTGCGGTAGCAATCCTACTCATTCCACGATCCAAAAACGGAACGCGTGGAAGATTCGTCTAGCATTTATCTAGTAGCGTGGAAGTACTCCACGCTGGCTAAATATCTAGAGCGATGTTTCATCATCAACCTAGTATGACTAGAGCGGTCATTGAGAACCCTGTCTCGATGACTATTCACGAGAGACTCAGTCATGAGTCGAACTCAAACCCTATCTAGGATCGAGTCGCGAATAAGGCTAAGAGCCGTGTATTGCATATGGTTGGTACCCCCTGTAATCAGTTCTGGTATTCATAGTAACAACAGCAATCAATCCGGCTGTTGGTTCCCCCTCTCAGGTTACCGGGTGTAGATCACCCCCATCTTTTTTTCTTCCCATAGCTTTTTCACATCGGATTCCGTTCCAAATGTCTTGGATACCTTGATCAATGTACAAATTGATAGGAGCGCCTGTTAACATGGCTGTGCCAGCCTGCTCAGAAGCCTCCGTATACCTGATTGAAAATTGGTCCTGCTACTGTTTGTTTTATAGTAGAGCCCTGCCAAAAAATGTTTTAACGAGCCCCCTTTGAAACCCCCATCATTAAGTCGCGAGGAAACCTCACGGATAGGGCTAGAGCTCAAGAGCCAAGGTAAGGTACCGTACCATCATGCCTCATCAGATTCGATTCTCTCATCCCGCCCATGCATCAGAAATGGTGACGGAACTCCCCCGTTGCGGATCATATTGGGTTGATCTTATGGGAAAGGATAAAGATAAACAAGAAACTATACGCAGCCGCAGAAAGATGTCACGGCCCCAGTTTCCACGATGCCTCTCCACGAAGCAGGACCTATTACTTGGGCTCCATCCTGGCCGCTAGCTAGATGGCGAATTCTCTTGCGGACTGTCTCCGATTTTCTAATGACGATCGAGGTAGTCTCAAAGGCTGGCAAGAATGGAACTGGGGCATCCCAAGCCAGGAGCATAACCAAAGCTGATTGTGCGGTTGGATTTGCAGGAGGCTGTTTGAAGCACGAGTACCTGTACCACAGGCTGGGTACTGGTACATGACATACCGGTACTAATGTAATGTAGCTAGTAGACATCAACGCCCCCGATCTTTGACAGTACAGTGCAGGCACTCGCGCTGGAGAAGCTTTGGCTTCGGAAGCGGTGCAGCTTGAAGAGGGGAAACACTTGCTTGCTGCTTCTCGTGAGCTACCAAAGGGTATTCAACTAACTCCTGTACTTGTGCTGCCTTGCCCGGTTCTACGGCTTGGCTGTCAGAGGGAAGTCGTTTGGTTTTGGCTTCACTTCCAGGAAGGCCTGATATGAGAAAAATCATGAATGCCCGTTGGAGTGCTCATCCCAGAGGACTCGCCTTGTGGCACGATGTGCGTTTTGATCTCCCAGCTCGGGTGGAGTCTGGCTACGGTAGGGTGTCGCAACGAGAGGTAGATCTACCACACCGGACTGAAAAGCGACGGAAGGTACAGGTTGGATCTGACGCCCGATTGCCAAGCAAGATTGATGCACGAGAATGGCAGATAACCAGACACAGTGTTGGTAAAGGAAGAAGCGTGGATTGCTTGGCTCTAGACGAGACGCAGAACTCTCCCCCGGTGAAGTCACAGCGCCCCAGTTCGGCGACCTTTCAGCCAGAGCACCCACGGGAGTTCATGGTCCCGATGCCCAGTCGAGTCAAACAAATGTTGCCAGCCTCTACCGCCAATTCCAACCCCCCCACAAGCAAGTGGACGAAAAGATGATTCTTGGATGGAGCCAGAACCCTCCTGTACCGGTACCACAGCAGTAACTAGTGAACCCTTTCCTTCCGTCCTTGTTGCAGCCTCTCTGCAACCGCAACCATAGCAAAAGAGGTTCAGAAAGCTCAGATTGAACTCACCAGCAAAAAATGGGGCTATGTCTTTTAAAAAAGCTTGTAGAGACTTGGCAACCTATCGTTGTTGATATCGTCATGGCTCGTGCACTGAAAAACATCACTACACCGACCTCCGTTATTAGGCTCGTTCAGGAGGCACCTCCAAAAATCCTCGCAAGACACAGCCAACTTTCCGACTGCTACTATTTAGTAAATCTATCTACATCTGCACAGGAGAGCCAACGAGATGGACTAGTGCGCGTAGCGCAACTCCAACGACGCTAGAACAAGAGATATCCACGAGACGACCGCTGACACGGGAAAAGACAACTCGAAGACCATGCTGATTGTTAGGTTTTTCATGAATTTTCCCACCAACAGGCAAAAAAAGAATTTATTCTTCCATTTTGTCCTCTGGGGCATCGGGTTTATCGCCATCCTTCGCTCCCTCTGGTTCCACTCCTTCCATGGTCTCGGGCTCTGCTTCTTTCTTTTCTGGCTCTGGGGCAGGTTTTGGTTCTTCCTTTTTCGGCACAGGCTTGCGCATGATGGGACTGCAAACATTGTTGAGATCACGACTCTTGTAGTTGATATCTCCCACCTTCAACACCGGATCAGCACTCATAGGAAGGCCGCCTTGCTTGTCCATCAAGTCGTACATCCAGGCTGAAACTTCGTCACATTTTGCATGGCAAGTACCGCGTTCCTCGTCAGTGATATGGGCATATTTTGCATCCGTCTGAGATTGGTTCACCCACTGTTTGTAGCGTTCCAAATTCGCCTGAAGAGCAGACAGGGCGCCGGGTCGACCGGAGGCTTCGACGGATCGGGTTTCAATGGGACCTCCTAGTTGTTTGAGTTCTGCCAGCTTCTCCGCGTATACAGACTTTGTCGCGTCAAATCCATCTTCATACAGCCAGTTTTCGATAGTTTCCTGCTTGGTGGTGAATGCTGCCTTTTCCTCATCCGTGGCATAGTCCGCAAGTTGAGAAGAGGACGAGATTTTGTCGCGCATGTCTGGATTGTATCAACCACGGGTACAAGAGGAACACAGGATCGGAAAAAGTGAGAGTTGTCGCAAAATAGCAGAAAGATGGCAAGAAAACAAAAACGAAGATCGATCATTGCCTTACCATAAATGTACGATTCCAGCTCGTTTCGCATATCCGATGTTTCCTTGACGATACGGTCAATGTTGGCCATGGAAACTTCCTCTTCATATGCCTTGTTGATTAGATCCTTGCTCCAGTCCAAAGGTCGGCTTTGTGTGAATTCCAAGTTGGTTTTCTTGACTTTCTTTTTCTTTTCCGCGGGTGCCTCTTCACCTTCCTTGGGTGCTTCCGCCTCGGCGGGGGCATCCTCTCCTTCTTCGACTTCTTCCACCATCTGGGCCGAACTCAAATGGACCACTCCGTGAATATCCTGTTTGACATTGACACGCACCTTTTTCTCACCATCAGAAGCCAACTTGATGCCAAACGTCGCAATGTCTCGTGGTGCACCGGTGGGTAACCCATACTGCAGAGCACTGTCGTCGTACGCCGAGGAAACGGTAAAATCGCCCGCTCGCTTCAACGTGACACGACGAACAATGGGAAAATTGAGTCCCCGATCAAACATGACGACCGAATTGGTAGCATCCGCATCCTCTTCCACACCGGCTTGTTGGTCCCACGAGATTTTGATGGGATACGGCTGCGATTCTTGGATTTCATACGGTAGAACCTTGAATCGAGGAGACAAAATGGCACTTTGGAGTGCGGCACCACGGGCGACCGCCTCATCGGCATTCATAGTGGTAGAAAGCGTTTGTCCATCCAGCAATTTCGTGAGTTCTCGCTTGATACATCCAATCCGCGTCGATCCTCCGACAATTTCCACACTGGCCAATTCCGATGCGGCGAGTCCAGTTTCCGCAAGCGCCTTTTCAATGGGAGCTGCCAATCTGGCAAGCAGAGGCGCACACATGGATTCATAGTCGGGTGCTTTGAGCGATGTGGAGAAATCAAAATCATCCATGAGACATTCCAGGTTGATGCGCGCTTCTTTGACTCCATGCGGGGAGAGTGTCTTTTTGGCCTTTTCGGCCGCCGCCATGAGCTTCAGGCGGACCTTGGGTTTGGACATGGGGTCGGCACTGAGTTTTCCCTTGTATTTGTCTTGGAACTGCTTGGCGATCCATTCGGCAATGACGAGATCAAAGTCTCGTCCGCCCAAATCGGCATCAAAATGGGAGCTCTTGACAATGAGTTTACCCGGTTCAAATGCAGCGACGGATACGGTAAACGCAGATGCCCCCATGTCGATAAACATGATATTTGTCGGCTTGTCCTTTGTGAATTCCTTTCGGAGATCCTTGAAGATTCCATAGGCGAGGGCCGTGGCCGTGTTTTCGTGCATGAGTCGTTGGACTTGGATTCCGGCAATTTCGCATCCCACTTGCAGACCACGTCGCTGAGAATCGGTAAAATAGGCGGGAATGGCAATGACCCAATCCTGTGGAAAAAATTTGGTGAGATCCGTGACATGGTCGCTCGCTTCCGACGCCTTGCTAGCGGCAATCATTCCCATGTGTTTCAACATCATTCCAGCCACGGCTTCAATCGAGACGGTGTGGTCTTCTCCATTGAGCGAGACTTTGACACCAATGGAATCGGGGCCTCCACTGGGATGCTTGATTGGCACGCAGTTGAAGGGAATCCATTTCTTAATTTCCGCTTGGGCTGTCGGGTCATCAAACGAAAGTCCAACGAGGCGCTTCATGTGCTTGATGGTGTTTTTGTAGTTAGAGGACGCTCCAGTCTGAGCTTCTTCGCCCATTTTGCGGCACTGGTCAAACCCGACCATGGACCTATATGTATATGTATAGTTGAGTAAGGTTAGATAGACAACAAGAAAAGAGAAAGAGCAACTTGGTGAGTGCCGAGTCCAAAAAATCATTTCGCTCCAACCCACGTGCTACGTAGACTCAGTACTGCCCGCTACGAAACGGATCGAAAATCCAATGACTGACTACAACGATACAAGCCATCGGCTGTCTACTTACGGGTTCAATCGATTGGAGTTTCCATTGAGGATCACATCTACACCTCCTCGGCCTGCAGCGGCAATCACAGAGTTGGCTAAACCAAAGTCAACACCCACCACACTCATGATGAACGCTTTTTATTGCTATTTGCTATTATTGGATTACACAACGATGGATCCAAATCGAGGCTTTGAGAAAAATAAATCTGCGGCGCAAACACGACCTTGCGTTGCCTTCCAACGAACCACCAACTCCGAGCTTCGAAGAAGCCTGACGATCCAAGATTCATCGAGTCCAGTCCAGTAAGTCCAATCGTACTTCGATAGCTTTTAGAGTTAAGGCAAAACATTAGAGTTAAGGGCAACTTAGAGTTAAGGGCATAAGTGCTGAATGAAGAACTCCAAAGAGCTCTGCCGCTCGAGATGAACAAAGGCCAAGCTTTCTCAGCTCTTTCTCCAACATCAGAGCGGAGATTCTACCAGCTGGTAGCTATAGAGACTATCTCGATCTACATGCAACAAGTACAAGAAGCGATTTATACTCTTCCTATAGCATCATCATTCACCTCTTCTCAAGAACTGCAGCCAGAAGAAATTGCTCCAAAGTCTTGGCTGGGCGTGCTCATGGATGTGCACACGAAACCATGCTTTCCATTTTCTTGAGGTGCAGAGCATCAGAGCATCCTGAAGCCACTTTTGATGCATCTTAAAGCTCCAAACCGCAAGAAACTTCTACTTTTGTTTCGTAAACGGTAGGCTACCGGTAGTCTAGTCATCACGGTACCTGGTAGCTGCTATGGCATTCTTCATTACAGTATTTGCATCTTGCTACATTGGTGGCACACCATCTCGCTGATCCGCACCCGCACGATGATCAATCCTCAAGTTCTTTCGGTGCGAAGTCGGGTGGGGGCAGCCTGCACCTGGCGGGGCGCCACTCTAAATATGTACCAGTAGCTGTACCAGTACAGCTACAGTAGACCACTCGACCACTCAGTGTGATCTCAGTATCTATTAGCTGGCTAGTACCGATAGCTAGTATCTACATGACCAATTAATTCAGAACTGCAGTGCCGGATTCCGGAAAGACCAGCGAGAGCGCGAGAGCCCACGGCCGCGGCCAATGGCCAATGCGCCTTGACAGGACATGATGAGCAGCCGAGCGGCTCAGCTGCTATGCTGCTATGATACCGTACTGCCTTGAACGCTTCAATTCCTTGCTGAGCTCTTGGTAGTTGGTAGTGGTGATTGAAGAAGCTCGGACATTCGGACCCTCTAAAGGGCCTGCACTTTGAGAAGTAAGTTTGAGGAAGCCTACACCACGAGCTCAAGAGGCTGCGCAGCTACGGTACGGTACGGTTACACGAGCTCTTCATTCTACATCACGCATGTAAACACGTAAACACGCCAACATGGTACCGGTACTGCCAGGTGCCAGTGCCATGCCTAACATCATCACAATGTCATCATTTTTACGGGCGACATTCCTTAGTGATCTTGTGTCCAGTACTGGTTCAGGTGAATTAAATTGACCATTAAATGGTCAAGGGAAGCCTTGTGACCACTATGGGGGTCGCGCTCTCCAGTCCAGAGTACGGCGGACTCCACAGGACAAGTACTGTACCAGTAACTTTAATCAAGTAGTTGAGGTAAACAGGGTTTTATTGGTATCGTAAATAGGCTTAAAATGCTTACCGCACCTACCCGTGTTCAATGAGCGGCTTCCTTGTAATTATTGAAGGGCGAAAGCCTGCAACCACCAAAGAATCTCATTTTCTTCGTTGCGGATTGCGGATGGAGGTTGTCTCTTTATTTTTGGAAAATCCTTGACTCGAGACTCGAGCAGATACGTTTGTGGCCCTAAAGGAAAGCTAAGATGTCAGACGAGGAGTGTGAGTTGCTAGAAGAGGGAGGGGTATCCAAGCCATCTTCCAGTATACGCGAACAAGACAATGAAGATGCAAATAATGATACCCTCTGTATGGTAGTCGAGGCCTTGCAAAAGGAGCAAGCGAGATGTGGCGGTGATACTGACGTCAATACATGTAGTAGTAGTGCTAGTTCAAGACAAGAGACTGAAGACCAGGAAGAAGTGAAGGAAGCGTGCAAAGGGAAACCTCTGAAAGGTGCAGGATTGGAAACCCATGAAGGTTTTGTCGATGAGTCATTTCCAGGAGCTTTCGCCATGGCTCCACCCTCTCCACCGCGAGAGGATAGTGGAGCAGACAGGGATTTGGAGGTTGCAGCAGCACCACCAGCACTGGAAACAACGACGACGACGGCGACTGTCGTAAGCACCGCGGGAGAACACTTGCTGGAGGCAATGCCCGTGGATGACGAAGTCGTAATGGCAGAACAAATGACCAACAACGATGATGATGATGATGATGACGATGCGAGACACAACAAGGACAGAAAGGACTACCAGAAGCTTGTCACCAGGTTGAGAATCGTTGGCCCCATTTTCCTCCTGCTTTTGGTGGCGGTCACCGTTGGTTTGGTGGTGACGGCGTCGTCCAAGAACACTCAAGGTCAAGATTATATCCAAGCCACGACAGCTGCTCAGGATCCAGAGCAGAACCAAGAAGAGACCAGCATCACAGAAGGTACCACGCCACACCAAGAAGAAGGTGCACTCACGACGACTACTCAAGTACATGTACATCATTCCGAGGATGATTCCCTTTGTTTTTCCAGCCGCGACGAGTTGGTCGCGGCGGTGGACGCTTTTGCCAACAACGACAACAGCAGTCTCGGTCACAACAACCACTATGGATGGCCCATCGGGTCTTGGTGCGTCTCGCAAGTCCAGGACTTTTATGAAGTCTTTGCCGAACCCCGCAATGTGAAACTGTGGAACTTTTCAGAGCCAATCGGAGACTGGGATATGACTGGCGCTTCGGGTAACATCCGAGGAATGTTTCGAGGAGGGAAGAACCTGTCGGGACAGTTGGGCATTCAACAGTGGAACACGAGTTCCTTTACGACGCTTGATTTCTTCTTTCAGTCCGCTCATTGGAGCGGTCCTATCGACTTGTCATCTTGGGATACATCCAAGGTCACATCCATGAAGGAACTCTTTCGCAAGAACAAACACTTTACTCACGTTACCGGTGTGGAGTACTGGGATACAAGCCGTGTACGGACCATGAGTCACCTAGCCCAAGCTACGGTCGACTTCAACGCGAACATTTCGCTGTGGAACACGAGTTTGGTGGAAGAAATACACAACGCGTTCCATCGCGCCACGAGTTTCAACCAAGATCTTTCGGCATGGCAAACATCCTCCTTAAAGTTGGCCGACAACGCTTTCCAAAACGCATCCAGCTTCAATAGTCCGATGGATTCCTGGGATGTATCAAATCTGCGAGGCGCTCGAAACATGTTTCGCGATGCGGCAAACTTTAACCAACCTTTGGGCTCCTGGAATGTCTCTCGACTGGTCCGTGCCACCAACATGTTTAAATCGGCTTCTTCTTTCTCACAAGACTTGTGTTCGTGGAGATTTCTCTTGCCAGAATCTGCCGATTTGAAGAACATGTTTGTTGGCACCAACTGTCCCAACACATCCGACCCAGTGCATCCTCACGAAGGACCCTTCTGTTTCAACTGTGAGGACCACCAATAGCTAGCGGGGGAAGCGTGCAAGGGATGCGCCGTGACCTGGAACTACACAACCAATGCTAAAGCGAATATAAGAAGAAACGTCTACGATATATTATCTTGAACAGCGCCATACATCAGCCGCTGCTTATTCGTCCCACAACAAATATGACTTGTGTGTTGTACTGATTGCGTGGACGCCAAGTATAAACTGCTCCTTGAGCAGAGCTACAGCCTCTGAACATCGCCAATTGTGGCACTTGCCTTCCAGCATGATACAGCTGGAACAAAACCATCCATAATCCAAGCAAGGCGGGCTTTCAAGTTTGAAAAGACTGGCACAGCCTGCTGATCATTGACAGAGATTGACAATGTTCCGTTGTTTGTGCTATCCCCTGACAAATCAAGAGTCATTGTGACAGTTGATCCAGCACCAAACTTGATATCTGCAGCTGATGGTCCACAAACTTCTTGTCCACAGGAATAGACACTTCCATGGCGCCCATAGACACCCCAGCAATGTTGTTGATTGCCACAAAATCTATTTGGGTCGAGACAATCTGTAGATTTAACCACACCGATCCAAACACCTATATCTCTGACAGGTCCTGTTGTGATAGCCCAACGATATGTTCCACCCAATTGAAAAACAACTCCATTGAGGGAGTCACTTTTCCAGTCACTCACAGCAGTGAGAGTTTTTGATTTGGTTCTCTTCCACTCGATGGAGCCAACCTGAGAGGAATGAGACTGGTGAGAAGATATGATGGGCTTTGCTTTCATTGCTAGTTTTTTGTAGGTGTCAAATAGTTGGTCCTTTGTCACCAAACCGGATGTTTCAACCAGGGAAGACAACTCTTCAGGATCAATAAACTCCAGTTCCACAAAATCTTGTATCAAAGCCTTGGCAGTATCATTGCGGCTTTCTTTGGGTTCACCTGGAACAGATGGCTCACTTTTGGACCATGAATGTATCAGATTGAACATCCCTGCATTGTTGACCTTTCCCTTGGCATCTTGGAGGATAGCAGATACAACACTGCCTGAAGTGTTCCCTAGTAGACCTTCGTTTTGCACTATGTTCGTTGCATTATTGTAAATCTTCCAGGCCTGACCCTCCAACTCCTGTGAAATCACAGGTCCCTCTTGTTTGGATGCTACAAGCAGGGGAAATGCTGCAGATGGCATTACATTCATGAAAATTCCAAGACAATTCTGAGCCTGTTTGCAGAGGCCTGGAAGTCCAACATAGATGGCTGCTTCTGTCAATGATACCAAGGTCTGGAATTGTCCCATGTCACCTGCGGACAGTTTAGAAGAGTCTTCAATGACGATCTCTGAATATTCAACCAACATGGTGGATTTGTCAGTGTGGATATACTCCACGATTGCCTTGAGAACATTGCCAGAAAATCCAATGGGGACCAAGTCATTAGTGGCTTCCTTGAATGCACCCTTTTTGAACATGGTCTTGAAGTATTCACTCCGGACAGTCAAGGCTGTTCGATTTGCTGGAACCAGCACTCCATCCGTGCCTTTGAGAGACACATCAGCATACTCTTCAGTGGCCAATAGGGCAAAAGCTTGGGAGAGTGGCACCTCCAAGCTCTCAGGGGGGTTTGTAAATGCCATAGTTGCGTGAGGCTGGTGATTGTTTTCCTAACAAAATCTCTTATCAGGGCTTCAAACTCTCGAAGAAATGGAACGTGTTGGAGGTTGAAAGCTGCAACTACAGGTTGCTCGGAACAGCACGGCAGCGTGCGTGGAAATCCATCTTCCGCAAGAATTGGAGTTCCACGGTCTCCCCGTACTGACAGTACGTACGCGGGGAAGTGACACTCTTCAGAGTTGGGGATCGATCTAAAGACAGTATGGTACCTACCGCTACCGCTATCTGGTACGGCAAACGGCCCAAAGGAGCGTGGGGGCCGACGAGCTGATTGGGGCGTTCAATTCAATCGCCTAGTACGAGACCCTAGTTCAGCGTAGGGCAAAGCTGCTTTGCATGGGCCGTTTTGGGCCAGCGTGGAAAATCCGTGATCCGAACTTCACAGAGACAGATGATGGTACCTGGTACGGCTCGCGTGGAAACTCCAAGTCCGAGCAGCCAACAGACCAACGTGGAATCTCCCCGTGAAAGAAGCCAATCCATGCAATCGAACTCGATCCACGGGGATGACTTGGCGGTTGGCCTGATTGTGTCGAACCGAGGAGCCAACAGACCAACGTGGAATCTCCCCATGAAAGAAGCCAATCCAATCGAACTCGATCTACGGGGCTGTGCATGACTTGCCGGTTGGCTAAGATTGTGCCGTACCGGTAGCGGTATTGTACCTGCCGTGGTTGAACCTTCTTTTAAGCAGCACGAGGAAATATAGTTGTAAGTACCTGCGCCAATATTGGTGGTCAGAAGGAAGCAGACATCGGAACGTCTATCTATAATACTAAAAATCCGGTGGGAGAATGACTCTAATTGCCGGGTCTGCTCTTTCTTGATCAGGAGATTCAATCTGCTGCACTTGCCAGGTCATCCCGCCACGACGACAAACAGAGCTGTTTGGTGTTGCTTTGCCTTGTGCACTTAAGACTGTTCTGAGGCAGAACTACAGTCTTTGAAAATTCACAATTGTGGCACTTGTTTTCATGCATGATACAACGGGCACAAACCCATCATCACTCTCAACAAGCTGCGCTTGTAAATTTGAAAAGACCACCACAGCTGGTTGACTGTTGACAGAGATTGACAACGTTCCATTGCTTGTACTCAATCCTGACAAATCAAGAGTCATTGTGACACTTGAACCAGCTCCAAACTTGACCACTGGTCCCTTCATTGTCTTTCCACCGCAATGGATATTCCCATTTCGCCCATAGATGCCCCAACAATGTTTTTGCTGACCACAAAAATTGTTTGGGCTTAGACGATGTGTAGATTTAGCCACTCCAAGCCAAACACCGGGTATTCCAAATCTGGCAGTAGGGTCTATAGTGACAGTCCAGCAGTACTTTCCCCCCACTTCAATTGGATCTCTATCGAGAGTGTCACTGCTCCAATCTTTGACAGCAGTGCAAGTTTTGGATTTGGTTCTCTTCCACTCTAGATCTCTATCGAAAGGGTCGCTGCTCCAATCATTGACAGCAGTGAACGTTTCAGATTTGGTTCTCTTCCACTCTACTTGGCCAACACTGGAGTGAGATTGAGGAAAAGAGATGCTGCATTCCTGCTTTGCTTTTTTTGCCTTCTTTGCCTGATTCTTGAAGACATCATACAGCTGGTCTTTTGTCACCAAGCCTGATGTTTCCACCAATGTAGACAAGTCATCTGGGTCCATTAAGTCTAGTTCCACATGGTCTTGAATCATGGCCTTGGCAGAATTTTGGCGGTCTTCCTTGGTTTCATCAGGAACAGATGGCTTGCACTTGGACCAAGAATGGATCAAATTGAAGAGTTTTGTAGTGTCAATGTTGGCCTTGGCATCCTGAAGAATAGCCACCAGAACTGTGGAAGAGGTGTGTTGTAGAGTAACTTCATTCAAGCATCCATTGGCCCTGAAGAGGCTTCTCCAAGCCTGATTGGTCAATTCCTTTGAAATTACAGGTCCCTCTTGTTTGGATGCTGCCAACACAGCAAATGCCACAGAGGGCATCACATTCATGGCAGTAAAAAGACAATTCTGAGCCTTCTGGCAGAGACCTGGCAATCCAACAAACATTGCTGCTTCTGTCAAGGAAACCAAGGTCTGGATTTCCATCATATGATCAGCAGTAAAGGCCCCAACAGCACTCTCTGAATAGTCAACCAAAGCACTGGCATTGTCAGTGTGGATGTAATCCACAATTGTCTTGAGAACCTTGCTGCAAAATCCAATGGATACCACAGGATTACTAGTGGATTCCTTGAACCCATCCTTTTTGAACATGGTCTTGAAGTAGTCGCTACGGACCATCAAGGCAATTTGGTTTGCAGGGACCAGCACTCCATCTGTACCAACGAGAGATATGTCATGATAGTCTGGGTCTGCCAAGAGGGCAAAGGCTTGGGAGCGCGTGACCTCAATATTCTCAGCTTTGGTTAGCATGGTGGATGATGCCACTTTGGGCATCGTGGTGGATGGTGCAACTTTGGGCATCATGGTAAATGGTGCAGCTTTGGCAGGAATGGTGGATAGTGCAACTTTGGCAGGAATGGTGGATGGTGCAACTTTGGGTAGCACAGTGGATGCTTCAATATTGGGCAGCACGGTGGATGATTCTACTTTGGTGGGAATGGTTGATGGTTCAATTTTGACAGGAATGGTGGCTTGCGTGAGGGGAGCCTCCAAATTCTCGTTTGGGTTTGTGGTTGTCATTCTTGTTATTTGTGGCTAGTAGCGATTGTTTCCCGAAGAGGAGGCAAAGTGCTGTATACTATCAGGGCTTTGCTCTGCGGAAGAAAATAGAAAATGAGTTGGAGGTTGCTTCCCCGAGTGTTGGGCGTCGAAACAAACATCGAAGAAACGACTTCGAGTTCGATCGTTTCGGCGTGGCAGGTCCGTTTTGAAATGCACGGACCCAACAGTCGACAGCAGTTTAGACGCACCGGTACCGTATCACCGGGCTTGTTCTGTCGGTACCGATAGACTCTCTTTTCGCTGAATCGAATCATCGTATCCGATCGAGTCGATCTCCGGCCACCCACCCTTCCTTGCCGTTTGTGATCCAACCACGGTACGTTTTCTAGCTAGCTAGGTAGCATGCTGTACTTTTGCGGAAATGCACGTAGTAGCTATGGTGCCCAAAGCAAAACTATCGGTACGCAACAATAGTAATGTGTACAAGCAAGAGGATACGCAAAGGAATTACAAGTCGCAACAAGGAACGAGACTTGACGAGTCAAACATGGCTGGCCCTGTAGTCAGTTGCCAGGGAAATAGTAATGAAATCATGGGTAGCAGTACCGGCCATGCATGGCACTTCCGCCCGAACACGCACCAATGCTGCTGCATTGGATCTAATATTTTTAGATGCTAGCTAGAAGATGCGGACACCAACCATAAAAACCAGGCTGGCTTCGTGGCTGCTAGCTAGCCAGTGTCCGGTGGGCCCCCAAAGCAAAGCATCCATCTGCTTTGCCAGCAGCCATTAGATCTAGCTCTGTCGAGCTCTGTCGTTGCTTCGGAATCAGAGCACTTTTTACATGTAGTTTTGCAGACATAATACCGCTGCAAGTACGAGTATGACATTAATGACAGTCATAAAGTGCTATTGTAATGGGCATGATTTAAAGGACTTCCTTCTGCAGTCATACTGTTTTCCTCCTCACACACTTGGTCATTTTTTGCTTAATCCCAGCACAAGCTACTACTAGTACTGGAGTAGCTAGCTACTGTAGAGTAACAGGCTGTAGCAACACGATCGATGTTGCAGAGACATCCCTGATGGCGAGAGTCTTACCAGACAACTTGAGAGACTTGAGCCGTACTGGGTTCATTGTGTTCAAGCCTCGCATAAAATAACTTAGTAAAGAGGTCGCTGATCCCAAACGGTCGACATAGGTTCTTGCACCAAGCTTGCACAGGACTCAAGAGCCGGAACCCGCCTACCTCACACAAATCACAAGCACCAACCGCAGGCACCAACCACAATCACACACATGAATGCCATGGAAGACAATCGACGCCACCAGCCACAACAACCAGGGCTTCGGGCGCAGTCGGAAGCACCTTCATCCCCCAAGTCGGTAGTGGTCCGCAAGACTCTTGATGCCAAACTGAACAAGATGTCTCTCAATGCCAAACTGAACAAGCGAGACGAAAACAAGGCCACACAAGAACGACGAAAGCGTCTAGATATCTTGCGTGGGCAGTATCAGGATTCTTCGTGCCGCGAAGATGACGATGATGATGTCAGTTTGGATGGATCCGTCTCTTCCGTGTCCAGTTGGGTGGGGCGCAAGGGACGCAAGCTGTTTGGAAGCAGCAACAGCAGCAGCAAGTCCAAGAAGAAGGGATCATCTTCCAACAACAACAAGAGCCACTCAGCTTCCTCTTCCAGTCTCTCCTTGAATGACAGCAGCACCCGATTGTCCTCCAAACAACGAGGACTCGGAAGCATGTTTTCATCCAAGCGATTGGATACCGACCAAGAGGAAGAAGAGGAGGACATGTCCATGTCCAGTTTGGGAGGGGACGATGATATTTACAACAATAGCATCAGCATCTACAACAGCAGCTTTTCCACACGGGGCAACGGAAGCAGCAAGGAGAGTCTGGTTGCTAGCGCCAGTCTCTTGGGGGACTTTTCTGACGACGAAGACACGGATCTGGTCCCGGCACACAAGTCGGACAGCCACCTGGTGCGCAAACGAGAAAAGAAACAGAAAACATCAAGGAGAAGAAAGGAGTCCTCTAGCAAGGAGAGATCTGGTAGTAGCAGGGGCGAAGGCAAGACCAGCAAGTCAACCACCTCTAGTAGCACCAAAAGAAGCAAGCAAAGAAAGACCAGAAGGACTGATGATGATGACAAAA